TGGGAAAAAAAGAAACTGAAAACAGAAGAGGAGGGAGAAGAAAGACAGGCAGGTCTCAGAGGCTCCTGGGAGGTGAGCTGTCCTCTTTTGCTAGAAATGTGGGATAGCGTTTAAAAAACAAGGCAGAAAAAAAAAAAAACCACAATGGGACCAAGGAACAGGCCAAACAGCACCACAAAGATGCACCCAGCCACATCTTTATGAAGGAAATTCTACAAGAGAAACATCCTAATTTCTGTAACAAATATGAGAAGAGGAGAGAGAGAATCAATAAGTGAAGGAACATGAAAGTTACCACATACTATACAGGCAAATCACTCTTCAGGAGGTTGGGGGCAAGGGTGCAAGTCCTAGGCCAAGCTGGGCTACACAGGCAGACCCCATCTCCAAAGCCATCACACGGGACTGTGGTGTGTGGGTGTCTACAAGACTATCCTCCCAGCCAAGCTGCTGATCATCATCAGATCAGCTCTGACTACCTGAAGAAGCCTCTCAGGGCTGAGTGTGGACATCACAGAAGGAACAGTAGAGAGGGTCTCGGAACCCTCACCACTGTGTCCAGTCACTGCTCCTCCCAACAGTCACAGGCAGCTCTGTCCTAATTGCACATGGCCTCAGATTAGAGGGTATAGATGGAGAAAGATGAGGGGAGGAAGCCCCACCTACACAGCCATGGGGAAGGCACTCATCCATGCCGGGTACGGATCTTCCAGTGTGGCAGCTTCATAGCCACCCATGCTCTGGAAGTAAGCCTCACTCACTTATTGGTTCCCCAGAGTGAACTCCGGGGGAATCACACCTCAGTTTGTCTTTGGGGCTTTAGGAGCAGGGGTAGGCATTGTTCCCATCTCTCCCAGGGAAGGCGTTTTAGCAACAGTGGGACTGACAGGGAGTGTGATTCAAACAAATCAACAATTTCAAAAAGCAGGTAACAAACAGGAAATGTGACGTGACTCATTATTTGATGTTAAGAAATAATGAGGGCTGGAGAGATGGCTCGGTGGTTAAGACGCTGTTGCTCTTGCAGAGGACCCAGGTGCTGTGGGATGTTCTGTATGGCAAATGTGTTGCTAATTAGTCAATAAATAAAACACTGATTGGCCGTTGGCTAGGCAGGAAGTGTAGGCGGGGCAAGGAGGAGAATAAAGCTGGGAAGTGGAAGGCTGAGGCAGAGAGACACTGCCAGCTGCCACGATGAGAAACAGCATGTGAAGATACCGGTAAGCCACGAGCCACGTGGCAAGGTATAGATTAATAGAAATGGATTAATTTAAGCTATAAGAACAGTTAGCAAGAAGCCTGCCACGGCCATACAGTTTGTAAGCAAAATAAGCCTCTGTGTTTACTTGGTTGGGTTTGAAAGGCTGTGGGACTGGCAGGTGAGAGAGATTTGTCCTGACTGTGGGCCAGGCAGGAAAACTCTACCTACAAATGGCGTCCAACGTGGTGGCAAGAGTTTCCACCTAAAAACTGAGAAAAAAAAGATTCTAAAACGGAGCTAAAAACAGCTTCCTAATTGTCTCTCTCAAATGAGTGGCAGCTGCCTGTTTGAGCTACTGGTGGGTTCCTAGAGTGCATGCTCGACCTGCAGTATGGCGGGAATGAGGCCTCTGCAAGTGGCACATTAAGCTACATGGTGGATTTAGCCTTTGCTAGTGCAAAACAAAAAAGGGTTTCTGGGCTACTTGCTGCTTGGATAAAAGCATAGACCCACGATAGCTCCCAGAGCTGGCGGTAAACCACTGCCATGTTGGGAAGCTGAGGTGGGCGAAGCCAGCAGCCACAGCTGCTGCAGTTTAAAGCAAGAGATTCACAATAAGACAGATTCAGATGTAATAGTTTGCAATGTGTGTAAAAGATACGTAGGCTTGAAAGAGACAAAAAAGATGATATATAGAGTTATAGAAACAAATACATAGTTTTAAAAAATAAAGTCTTTAAAAAGACAGTAAAGGTAGTATAAAAAATAAGCCACGTAAAAATGGATATTACACAGAGAATCTGCATTGTGTTGTCTTTGGGACTTTTAACTGCAGAAAAACATTTGATTGTAAAAGCTGTTGAGTTATGCCAAAATGTATATTTTAAAGGTACCTTGACTTCAAAATTTGGATATAAGGATATGTTACTTTGGAAAGGAGACTCTGCTTTTGTTTCCACAGAAAGCCAGAGGCTATGGATTTGTTCCAGATTAAGACACATCAGGTTTGACCAGCCAAGACCCCCTGAAAGGTCTCCGATGACACCATGGCCCAGATGATCCAACATCCAGAACGGTTTGAAGGCATCTGGCTCAGACGATGCAGCCTCATGGACTATTCCATAATCCTAAAATTTTCTTTGTTTCCCCATAAGATACAGCGCCCCCCTCCAGCAGGAAGTAGTAAGAGAAGCTAGGCCCAAATTCCCAAATTATATGTAATTTTACTTTGTTAAGGTTAAAACCTTCCTTTTTGAAAAAAAAAAGGGGGAAGTGCTGTGGGATGTTCTGTATGGCAAATGTGTTGCTTATTAGTCAATAAATAAAACACTGATTGGCCGTTGGCTAGGCAGGAAGTGTAGGCAGGGCAAGGAGGAGAATAAAGCTGGGAAGTGGAAGGCTGAGGCAGAGAGACACTGCCAGCTGCCACGATGAGAAACAGCATGTGAAGATACCGGTAAGCCACGAGCCACGTGGCAAGGTATAGATTAATGGAAATGGGTTAATTTAAGCTGTAAGAACAGTTAGCAAGAAGCCTGCCACGGCCATACAGTTTGTAAGCAAAATAAGCCTCTGTGTTTACTTGGTTGGGTTTGAGCGGCTGTGGGACTGGCAGGTGAGAGAGATTTGTCCTGACTGTGGGCCAGGCAGGAAAACTCTACCTACACCCAGGTTTGATCCCCAGTATCCACATGGTGGAATCACTATCTGTAATTCTAGTTCCAGGGATCTGACAACCTCGTCTGAACTCAAGGGCACCAGGCACACACATGGTGCATAGACATACATGTGAGCAAACAGAATACCTGTAAAATAAAATAAGTAAGTCTTTTAAAAAAGAAAAGAAAATAGAAATAATGAGAGACTGGAGAAACAGCTTAGCAGTTAGAAACTTTGCTGATCTTCCAAAGGACCTGAGTTCTGTCCCCAGCATCCATGTCACACAGCTTACAGCTGTCTGTAACTCCAGCTCCAAGGGACAACTGCACATGTGTGTGCACATATACACACAGACGTATAAATAATAAAATATTAAAAAAAAAAAAAAGAATAGTGAGTGTGGCATCACGGCACATGCCTGTAACCCCAGTCCTAAGGTGAAAGCAGGAAGATCTGGAGTTCAGTCAAAGTCATTCTCAGATTCTCAGGCATATAGCAAGTTCAAGGCCAGCCTGGGCTACATGAAGCCCTGTAAAAAAAAAAAAAAAAGCTGGGTGGTGGTGGCAGTGGCGAACGCCTTTAATGCCTTTGATCCCAGCACTCAGGAGGCGAGGCAAAGGCAGGTGGATCTCTGAGACCAGTCTAGTCTACCAAGTGAATTCCAGGACAACTAGAACTACATAGAAACTGTCTCAAAAATAAAATAAAATAAAATAAAGAGTGGGGGTTAGGCTGATGTGGTGTGGGGAATATTGCACTCACATTAACACTAATTTTAATTAATTTGTTTTTTTGGGTTTTTTTGTTTGTTTGTTTGAGACAGGGTTTCTCTGTGTAGTTTTGATGCCTATCCTGGATCTCACTCTGTAGACCAGGCTAGTCTTGAACTCACAGAGATCCATCTGCCTTGTGCGCCACCACCACCCAGCAATTTTAATTAATTTTTTAAAGATTTAAATTTTTTAAATTTTTAAGTGTGTGTGTGTGGTTTCGCTCTGGAGGCCAGAAGAGGGCATGGCATCAGATCCCCTGGAGCTGCAGCTATAGGCAGTCCCTGACGAGGGTGCCAGTAACCACTGAGTAATCCAAACTCAGGTCCTCTAGAAGACTATTTGTATGTTCTCTAACTGCCGAGTCACCTCTCTAGCCCCCAGTTTTCAAACCCCTGTAACAAGCTGCAATGTGAAGGACATTCACTTCTGGAGCATGCTTCCCTCAAAGCCTGCAGCTCTATCCACCCAGGAGAAATGCACTAGGTACACCCAAACTGAAGATATGCTATGAAATATCCCACCAGTTCTTCCCAACACTGTCGAGGTCAAAAATTGAAGAAAAGTGTGAGAAACTCAGACCAAAGGATACTAAAAGGACATGCCACCCAAAAGCAACCTGGAACCCTAGAAACCAAGAGATATTAGCCTAACAAAGTACAATTCAACCTAGAGTGTGCTGATTTTTATCTATTTTTTTATTATTATTCACACATTAAATAGATGTTTGGTTTTTAATTTTGGTTTTGGTTTTTTTTTTTTTTAACTTTTTACTTTTGGCAGGGAGTGGTTTCAAGACAGGGTTTCTCTGTGTAACAGCCTTGACTGTCCTGGAACTCACTTTGTAGACCAGACTGATCTCAAAGTCACAGAGATCCGCCTGCCTCTGCCTTCCAAGTGCTGGGATTAAAGGTGTGCGCCACCACCGCCCGGTTCGGCTTTACTTTTATGTGTATGAATGTTCTGCCTGGATATTGTGTGTACACATGTGTGTACACGTGTGTGTGTGGTGCTGGCAGAGGTCAGAAGAGGGCGCCAAGTTGCCTGGAAGCAGAGTTACAGATAGTTGTCAGCCACCAGGTGGATGCCGGGACTCAAACCTTGGTTCTCTATAGACCTCCATCCATTTTTGTGAGACTTGTAATCCTGAATGATCTGGCACTCACTCTGTAGACCAGGTTGGCCACAAACTAAAAGAGATCTACCTGCCTCTACCTTTCAAGTGATTGGGATTAAAGACATGCACCACCTCACCCACCTATTTATTTATTTTAATTTTTTGTGTGCCACACATGTATGGGCACCCATGAGAGCCAGAAAAGGGGATCAGTCCCTGGAGCTGAAGTTACAGGCTATGTGAGCCGCCCATCTAACACAGGTGCTGGAACCCGAACCTGGGTCCTCTGCAAGACCAGCAAGCACTCTTAACTGCTGAGCCATCTCTCCAGCCACCAATTTTGACTTCCTCTTTTTGACAAATGGACCTTGGCTCTGTGAGATATTAAAGGACCTTGTGTGAGAGTTGTTCGGGAATTCTTTTTTAACTTCTACAAATCTAAAGCATTTTTTTTAAAGCTGAATATGGTACCTGAGGAAGTACAGCTGAAGTTTTCCTCTGGTCTCCACACACAGGGGAACACGAATGCCATACACTCACACAACACACAACACGCACAAATGCTCCTTTTTAGATATACCCACCGTCTAGTGAGTAAAGGAAGTGACAGGATGTTCAGGTTTACTTCAAAGCGACTCGCTGGCTGTGAGTGGGGAGGAGCACAGGTGGAGTAGGCCGGCCTTAAACTGGCAAAGCTGGTGTTGGATGACGGGCAGCCAGGCGTTGGAAGATGAAAGGCTCTGGCTTTGTGGTTGGAAACCTCTGGAATAAGGACCACCGGCATAATATGCAGATCTCTCTCCATGACACAAGTCCCTTTGTCCTGCCCACAGGACGGCAGCCATGCGAAGTGCTGACCTGCCTCATTGGATCCCTTTTTGTTTGCTTTAGAAGGCCGTAAAACATTAATTCAAAAAAAAAAAAAAAAAAAAGTGACAGTAAATAAGTCAGCCTGGACTCTGGAGCTAGGCTGCCTGGGAAGCCACTGAATCTGTCTGTGAACTGCAGTGTCTCACCTGAAAACTAGAGGACATTGTACCTGTCACAAAGGGCCATAAAATTTTCATAAGCCAATGTGCAGGGGGGCGGGGCCACCAGCATCATCTTATGGAGAGAAAAATAGCCATAGACAAAACCCATCCGTCACCCTTTCTCTGCACGCTGATCCTGCTCAGTCCTGCCCCTCCCCCTACCTTCCTTCATAGAGAGAAGGAAGGGCTTCCGAGAGAAAGGAAGACCTCAGTCCCCGATCCCACTAAAAGCACTAGGGCTGTAGCTCAGTTGATAGAATGTTTGCCTAGCACGCACCAGGCCGTGGGCTTGGCCCCCAGCACCCCATAAAACTAGGTGTGGTGTTGAATGCCTGTAATCCCTGCACTACAGAGGTGGAGGCAGGCAGATCAGAAGTTCAGGGTCAACCTTGACTACATGGTCAAGTTTGAGGACAATATGGACTTCATGAGACTCTGGGGTGGGGGGAAGCTGAGACTAGGTGGGGATCTGAGGGCGCTCCCTGAGTGAGCTCTGGGAATGGACCATGGTTAATGAACCACTGTCCGCAGACATCTGCCAGGCCAGTGAAGGCTATTATCAGCAGTCACTAGACACCTACTGTGTGCCAAACACTGAGAACAGGACCCAGGACCTAGATGAAGATGGCTGGGCCCAGGCAAGGAGGTAGAGACAGGAGGATCAGATATCCAAGGTCATCCTCAGCTACATAGAGAGTTTAGAAGGCAGCCCCTGAAGGACCCTGCCTACTCAGAATATATGTAACAAACTACTGTGCCTTTAGAATTACCTCTTAAAGAGTGGAACAACGTTGCCATTTTACAAGATTCCTAAAGGACACAATTTAGATAAAATTTGGCCAATCGGTCCAATCACAGACTTGTAAGTCAATTCCATTCAATTCCACAAACCCCACTGCAGAGCCTCACTCATTCATAAAGCTCTGTGACATTCTTTGGCCACCAGACACTATGCTAATGTGAAAACCTCACAGTAGAGGGGAACACCACGACAAGGTAGGCACAATCCCTGATCCCATGGAGTATACGATCAAAAGTGGAAACATATGGTAATAAAGAAGCCAGGGGCATGAGGCTCCTTGGAGGAAACAATGCTTTGTGGATAATGCAGGGATGGGGGGGGGGGTTGAGAGCTGGGACAAGAGATGTTCCAGGGGATGATCCAGGCACGGGAGGGAACAGGATAGGTCTGAGGGCTGAAAAAAAAAAAACAGTATGGTGGAAAGAAGGGTGCAAGTGGAGAGTCAAGTGTCCAAGAGTGGGCCCTGCAGAACTTTGGGTCCCTTCAGATTCGAAGTCTGTACCTCAAAAGTAGAGAAACCCACTGCAGGGTGTTTAAGGATGCTGCCTGTATGGGAATCATCTGATCAGACCCGCATTGCTGGGAGTCTGCCTTAGAGAAAAGGGAAGGATTGGAAGAGGGCCTGGAACTGGAAGCCGGGGACCTGTCAGGGACTCCCATAGAAACAGATGACAGAGTCTGACTTAGCCTTGGGAGAGGGCAGCTACAAGACTTTTTGGGGAGAAGCTATCACAGCTCTGGCTGGACTGAAGGGGCTAGGAAGTATAGAATCTAGGTTTATGACTCCAGCACTTGGGTGGCCGGCTGAGCTGATTGCAGAGGGAGGGGCAGATGTGGAGGAAAGAGAAGTTCTCAGCATGCGTGAATCAGATCCACTGAGCACCCTTTCTTATCAGGCCACTATGCTGGCAGCAATGGGAGCCTCCGCCGCCGAGATTACCGCATACTTCACTTCTAGAGGTGACGGATATGAACAGTTGCAGGCACTAACCTTCCTCAAACACACTCACTCCACTAGTGATCAGAGCAAATAGCCCAGAGCAGAAAGCCAATAAAGGGTACTCAGTAATGTCTGTTGAGTAAATAAATGTCCCAAGTGCCACCCAGATACCAGACACCAGGGAAAGAAACCCTTACTCAGGGCATGTTATGAAAGCCTAACTGCCCCGGGGTAAGATCAACCCCTTTTCTCAGAGTTGAAGGCTACAGGGAATACTACTGAAGAGTAAGCTGCGAGATTCCCACTGCGGGTGCCGTGCGGGAGGGAGTTTGGCGTTCTGATAGGACCACGGGGTGGTGGTTCCAAAGACAGCAAGTGTTTCCCAGCGGGGGGGTGCCTGTCTGGCTGAAGGATGAGCAGAATGGGGGGTGGAGACAAATAGAGAGTCACTCAAGGCCAGGCACAGGCACCCCTAACCGCGTCGCCATAGGAGGCATTTTACACTACTGAGACATTAAGTCTCTCCAGATTCCTCCATGCTGAGACAGTCTATTTTTAAAAGAAATCAAGTCCCATTTAAAAACTCTAGGGACATATTCTCAGAAAGCTCAGCTCAGTGAAGTTGGGGGGCTGAATTTGAACCCAGTCTCACCTCCACGCCCACCCCCCTCTAAAAAAGCCATTGCACCCCACCTTTGTAGCATTTCATTTCTTCCTTCAAAGTTCTCTCTAGCACATCTGCTACCCTTACTCCTGGCAAGGCCAGGCTCACTTCAGCTCTGGAAGCAGCCGGGGAGGGTCTGCGGTGTTGGAACTGTGCCGCCAGGTCCCTGGCTCACAGACCTGGATCTCCGGTTCCGTGGCCGAGTTAGTGATGCCCTGCCGGGTTCCTAGGTTTGTGTGTCCCGGGGTTAGGCTAACCACAGTCACTGTGCACCCCGAAAGCCCAAGCGGGTGTGGATGGGGGCCAGCGCTGCGCGGCGCCAGGAAGCAACGAGTGCGGGACTAGGGCACGCTCGGGACCCTCGGGAGGAGCGCGGCGGCTCCCGAGGATGACACAGCGTTTCCCCGCACCCGGCTCTCTCCCGCGTCCCAGCCACATCCTCGCAGAGCGCATTAGGAGGCCGGCTGGTCTCGTCACTGAAGCCCCGACCCGGGGATAGGGATCGGGTCGCTGCATCCGTGCACGCGGTCCCATCCTGGGGTGCACATAGCACCCTGCTGGAGGTCGAGGAACCGGAGCGTGACCGTGGGGCGTGACCAGGGAGTTTTGCCCCGCGACTGTCCCGCAGCTCACAAGGAAGGTCAGTCCCACTCGGGAAGAAGTTGAGAAGCGCCCCAGGTACACCACCTGCCCATGAAGCACAGGACTGGAACTTTGCGCCTAAGGCGCACTTGCCAGAGTGACCCTTCAGAGCCACTCGGACCCGGGACCCGCGACCCGCGTGGCCAATCACCGCGCGACGCGGACGGGGGCGGTGGCAGGGCGCGGGTATCCGAGGAGTGACTGCGCCACCCGCCAATAAGAAGCCAGGGTGGGAGACCTCGCCCATCCGGTTGACCAATGGGAAACGGGCGGCTACAGCCGAGGTCCCCGCACTAGCTGTAGGCTCTGGTGGCCGCGGGTTGGAGACCCTCGGGCTGAAGTGACTTTGCAGGAGACTTGGCTCGACCCCCTCCCCTGTGCCTCCCTCCCACCCGCGGGCTGCAGCCCGGGCCTCACCTGCTGGAAGCGAGGCTTGCCCAGCTGGAAAGGGGGAGCATCGGTGGAAGCGTTTGCAGGACTGGCCGCCGCCGCCGAGGTTGTGGTCGCTGTATCCGCCATGGCCACTGACGCCCGCAATCTCCAGCCCTTTTAAAATGTCCCTCCTCGGCCCCCGCCACAGTTGCCTCTCCCGATTGGCCGTGAGCAACCGCAGCAAGAAGGGCGCGCAGGGCCTTGTGGGGAGTGTAGTTTTCCTCAGCTCTGAGCCTGACAACCCGAGACTGCGGAGAGCTGCACCCACGAAGACCTGGTTTCGGTTCCAGCCGCCAAAGCAGCAGGCACCGGCAATCTTAGGAATGTGTGCAGGTGCGGGTATACTCGCGGCCCTGAATTTTAGGACTAGGAACGTCCAACAAACGCGGGCCTGACCAGGGATCAAATAGACAAGGACTCCAGGCAGAGTGGGGTTAATTCAGAAGGCCTTCAGCAAGGAGTCGCACTGCGGGATTTTCCTGCCGTTTCTTCTAGCATAACCCTGACTCCAGCCATTCTGTCACTCTGCCACTCTCTTAAACAAGGCCTGCTCAAGCTACTATGACCCTTGAACATTCTACTCATACTTTTACCATGGTTTGATGCAGTTCTTTTTCTAGGCTCTGCTTAAGCATTCATCGATTCCATCACTCTACTTCCACAAAATCTGCTTCAGGATTCTGTAACCACATGACACTCTGTTTTGCCTAGTTCCATGTAGCTCAGGCTAGCCTGGAACTATGTAGCACAGGCTGCCCTCAAACTTGTGATCCTTCTTCCTCTGCCTCCCAAGTCCTGAAATTATAGGTGTCAGCTAGCCGACCAACTATGGGCTTAAATATCTTTCTAATGGTGTGGTGGGGGAGGGATGATTTTGGTTGGATAAATCTTCAATGCAGGTATAGGAGGACCTATACTAGAACTCAGATGTATTGAGTGACTTAAGCATCCTGAGAGACCCCCCCCCCTTTTTTTTGACACAAGGAAGTTCCCTCCCGAGCCTAATCAAGGACCAGCAACAGTGATTCACTGGGAGCTGCAGAGCACACTGGGTAATAAACACATACTCCTGCAGAATGGTGCGGAATGGCCACTGCAGTCCCCGCTTACTTATCTGGTTGATGAGCTAGCCTGGGCATAGATGGGTGGGGAGACAATGGTCTCCCAGGACAAAACTACTCGATTCTAGGGAAGTCTCCATCTCAGGGTGGGATTCAGATTGAGGTTTCCAACCTGTCCTTCTGCACACTGCATGAGCGGTAGGTGGCCCAAGTGCCCATCCACTCACTAATAGCTGAGCTACAAGGAACAGCACTCACAAATGATCCTAAAGCTGGGGAGAGACGATGGCTAACCAAAGAACTGTTTTTATTTTTTGTTTGTATCCTATCTCCTCTTACTAAACTCTGTGGCTTCAGAACAGAAATCACAAGTTTTGCCCTCTTTTTTCCCCCATGGCACTCACTGAATTTATGCCCGTGGTCAGTGCCCAGTGAACCAGGCACCCCAGGAAGCACTGCCTTCACACACAGGCAATCCCCTTCACCCGCTCATTTCAAAACAGGAACACACCAGGCCAGCTGTGGTACACGAACTTTTTATTCTTCATAAAGTGCTCAAAACATGAAGAACAAGCTCTTTATAGACAGGAGTTTCAACTAGGAAGACCAATGGCAGAGCAGATCTGTGCCTGCTCACTGTCTGCCAGCCGCACTCTGCAATGTGTGGTATGGAGCAGACACAAGCAAAACCCTGGCTTCAGTTCAGAGCCCCTCCTGAGACACCCCTGCCCTGGCCACACAGGAAGACCAAACAGCAGGGACAGGCGAAGGACGAGGGACAGGGCCAGAACCAAATGAGCTCAGAGGCATGCCTAGCAGAGGGACTCACTTCCTCAAGAGGCTCTCTCCAACGCCCAATGACCCCCCACCATGTGGTCAAAAACCTGGAAACTGGTGGCTACTTTCTTCATTTCTGAGTTGACCTAGAGTTGGTAATTGTACTGTGGGGGCCCGTTGTGGGGTTTGTCTGTTCTATGCTGGCAGAAGACTGACATCCACAGAGCATACCTCCTGAGGTGTTCTGAGTGAACTCATGACCCTCCCATGAAGAAACAGTTGTTGCCTTTCCACCCAGCCCAAAGCATCTTTTTCCAGCATCTCACCTCCTTCACACATACTTTTTGCTAATGCACAGCCGCCAAGGACCCCTGCAGATGCCATGGGGAGACCTGCTTTATTCACAAGCAAAGAAGAAGCTGGACCACAGGGGAAATACTTGGCTTCAAAATGCACTTCAGCCAAGCCAGGAAAGACAGAAGGGGTTGGTGAGCAAGAGGGAGGCTGCACAGCAGCTTACAGAACAGCTGGAGAGCCAAGGCATTTCCTAAGTACAGGTCTCCTAAGGCAGAGTGAAGCCTCCCACTTCCCAGACATGCCCTCTGGTCCAGCACAGCTGGGACTCAAGGCCAGACACAATAAGATGCAGGGCAGCCCCAGGCTTACTGTGCACTAGATTTTTATCCCAGGATGCTCTGAATGGGGGTCAAGGAAGGTGCAGGAAGTGGGAAGAAGACTTAGGAGGTGGCAGCAGGTTGGCCAGAGCCTTAGCTGAGGTACTTCTTAGGGAAGCACAAAGCCTGGTCCACATTCCCCGTTCAGGACCTTAACAGCCATTTTCATGTGCTCAATAGGAGGGAGGGGACACCATAGCCAGAGTGGTCTACATCCAGAGGCTCTTGTCCTCACCCACAAAAGGCACATTTTAATTGGTTTCCAAAAGTTCTGATCCCACAGCAGCACAGTTTTGGCATCTGGACAAGTAGTAACAACAGACATGGAGGCCTGATCCCCATAACATGAGCAGCCCAAAGCCCCAACCTGGAGGGTCTCATGTTAGGGAGGCAGGGAGAACCTCAGGAGCAAGGAGTCATCCTCCCTGCACCCAGCCCCACCATCCATCACCACTGGGACATGGAGTGGGGGGTCTGAAGAGGAGCAGGGAGCAGCTGAAGAACACAAAGACACACATCACCACCATCATCATCACCACCACCACCACCACCACCACCCTGTATACATGCTCCACACACATCCCCAGAAAGAGAGACAAGACTAAACACACAGGCTCCCTACTCCTAGAGTACAGGCACAAGGTTGAGGTGTAGGTGCCCTGGTCCCCATCCCAGTCCCAGTCAATACCAGGAGGACCTCCAGCACGATCGGCCAAGAAGAAACAACCGGCCAACCCCATGGGGTGATTTAAATCTGTGCTGGCGCAGTGTTGCCCTAGATACCACAGCTCACCCCAGAACCCACAGCTCACTCCTGCTCCATCTCGACAGCTGACATCCTTGTTCCAATTCTCTGGGGGGCCCCAAAGCTACTAGTGTGAAATGGGCAGGAAGGAAAGACCCAGGGCTCTAGTGGGAGTTCAAAGGGGCCCCTTCCAGCAACCCCAGCAGAGGCAGGATGGGGAGGGGTGCGGAGAGTGACCATGAGAGCAGGCTGTGCCCTACTCAGGTGAGTAGTCAGTGGAGGGCATGACACTGGCCCTCACCAACCCTCCAGGGATGGAGGGAAGGGTTACTTGTGGGGGGCAGGGGAGATCTGCAGCAGCGTGGGTGAGGTCTCCATGATCCTCACCAGCAGCCGGTCGATGTAGCTCTCCAGCTCCTGGACATGCTCGTCTCTCTGGCTCAGCTCACGCTCACGCTGCAGGAGCAGGCCAATGAGCTCATCATGAGTCAGGTGATAGTACTTGGCCGACTGGTCCAGCACAGCAGATTCCTATGGCCAGACAAGATGGAACTAAGAAAGGGAGGCCCAGACCTTCCACCAGCTAGCCCACCAAAACCTGTTTCCACACTGTAGAACCCCAGACTCTGCAGCAGCCCATCTCTAAAGCCAGAGATATCCTCCCCACTTCAGAGCTGTGGCATGGGGAACTGCCAGCTACCTGCTCTGCCCTTCACACCTCACTCGGCCTCTCTCCATCGTACCACCTGTTCTCTCGGGTGCCTCCTAACACCTTGCTGAGCCTCACCTTCAGCCTCTTGGTGTCCACAGTTGGGCCAAGCTGAGATGCTGGAACCACAGACTGGATGCTGCCAGATGTGACGGTTTTGAGCTTCTCCAGTCCGCTGCTCAGGGCTGAGCTCAGGCTGGTACGGGGCTGTTTCCTGTCGGGGCTGGCCTCCACAGGGGCAGCGCTGAGGGGCTTCACAGGATGGGGACTGCAAAGACAAAAAGGAAGTGAGCTGCGGGGAGGGAAGGGTGGCACAAGGGTGGAGTCACTGTCTCTGCATGGCCACCTGACCTGCTGAAGAGCTGATGTCCCCAGGGCACAGCATCCTGTGCACCTCAGCCCACCAGCTTCAATCCAGCACGGACTACTGGCCTACAGACTCCTGTGCCTGTACCAGTCTTTGCCAGCCATCTCCTCCTCATCTTCTCTACTTTCTCAGTTTCCCAGCAGTCAAGACTGAGAATACGAGAATGTTAGGGTTAAACCAGTGGTGCTTCCTCGTCATCACCTCTCTCTGCTGGGGGCTTACCATAAGCCTCGGGACAGGCCTGCAAAACTCTTCTCGACCTGGACCTGCCCTCCTCTCACAACCCTGCCCAGAGCCTGGGGACTGACTGCCTTTAGTTTCGAACTTCTCACCTTGAGTACTCAAGCCAAAACCTCAGTGCTGCTAGCCCAGGCCAAGTGAACTTGCTGGATCCTCTCCTTCACCTCTCAGAGCTCACAGCCACATACCTCTCTCCTTCTTCAAGACCGAAGCTAGTGTCCTGACCTCTACCAGCCTCTTCTCAGGCTAAGCTGCTAGCTCCCTGGCTTCTCTCTCCTCCTGGACATCCCGTATCTCCCCAGCTGCAGCCCAGTTGTTACCTCAAGGCCAGCTGCGTCCCGGGGTCCACCTAGCTCTATACCAAGTTTCTCTCACACCCGCCTTTTCCAGCAG